TGTTTATTCAACAACCTATCTGAAATGAGGTCAACTGCCCTTGTGTTTGGTAACTTTTATTTATCAGACGATATCAAACTACTAAAATAGAATTGTTGAATCTGCTTTCTCATCCAAGTAACAAACGTATTTAAAATACAATACATATTGTAAATTCAAATTAGCAGGCTTTCCCAAATAGACTGTATGTTTTGACAGACTATCCCTTCCTTTAACCAGTTACATGATGTTTAAGCTGATTAGTTAAATTAACGGAAAACATAAGATGGCTAGAATCACAATTTATACACGACAATGTCCAGAATTCAAAAGCAATTGCTTTTACAAGACCGAATCAATCGACCACAAGAAATTCAATTAGCATTGTAATAATAAGCTGCTTATTACGTAACAAATTATTAACCAACACCAAAATAGAAAACTGCAAGGTGACTGACGAACCAGAGTTTATGCACATCGCAATACATAGTAATGTGGTGACCAAATCCAGCAATCATAATTATGTGATGTAATTAAACTAAATTTTTCAACTTCTGGTTGGTTAAAAAATGTAAGTGATAAGAAATATTAAATCACCTTTTAATTTTTACTAATTTCCATGTGTCTTCTGCTTTATCTACTTTCTTGTATGTCAAAGAATGAATATTTAAGTTGACTGATGATTCAATATTACAAATTTAAGTGGCTTGTTAGAAAGAGCAGCTAATTTTGTCGTAATCTATATGGAAAAAAACGGCGAGAAAAAAAGACAAAAATCAAAATCAGACAACTTTTATCCAATTCAAGACACATTTACATAATTCATATGATGTAAAGTAGAAACTAATAAGTCATTTTAACCGGTAGCTTAATGTGTGAACAGCTATATTTTGACTAACTTATTTGTGCGAAAAGAAATCATTTCATCTCACAGTATTCAAATGAAATTAAACAGAATTCGGCAAGCTTCATTATCAAGAATGTTTCCTTGAAAACAATGTCGAATATGTCCAGTCTGCAGAACATTATCATATACTTAAATTTAACTCTGTGTAATCACACTCCTATACTTGATGAAGAAATAATTCACTGTCGTAATATTGTAAATCACCAAACTAAAAAAGTCATTTTGACCGATAAAAACATTTTGCAAACAGTATTTTTATTAGTAGTGCTAAATCAGATGCATCAACTAATCGTATTAAAAAGAATATTGATACATTGAAACTATTCAGTAGATCATCTAAACGCCGTACTTTGTTATTATACAATGATTATTCTGAATGTGAACCTAATAAAAAAAGATAGTACGAATTAGAAAAATAAATTCTTTTGCCATTGAATACAACCATCGTAGTGTATGATTATTTTTCTCATAAAACAAATATACTAATTCAAGATATAGTGACAGTTGGTAGTTAAAGATAGATAGGTTGTAACAAAGCATTTGATCGAATCAGATAGATTAGTCGTTTAAATTCCAACACTGCTTTCAAACATTTACCTACTTTTTTAATCAGAATGAGGATTTGTGGAGATAGTAGTAATTTTAATAATTGAATTCATTACTCGACCTAAACTAGACCACCATTGAAAACCTGGAAGCAGTAGATGTCCGTTTAGTACAGGTATGGGACTCTTGCGTGCTAAGTCGTGGATGCTCACTACTGAGGAGCCCCATACTAGGACAAAAAGGTCTTCCAGAGCTTCTAGGTTTTCATTGGTGGTTTAGCATAGATCAACTCATGGATTCAAATACTTTTTTAGACAACTAACTAATGTCGAAAAATAGTAAAATAACAAAACTTATATGTTTGTTTTTTCGCCATATGATAAAGTGAGTTTTATTAATTGAACTGTTAATGCTTTACAAATTAAATATTGTAAGATATAAATTCATTATCATTATTATTTCACTTAAGTGCTTTAATAACTGAATAATATACTACGTGCTTTTCATAACATTCTTCCATATTTGCTTTGTTTCACATATGCAAAATACGGTATCATATAGAGCACTATACCCTATTGGCTTTTACAAATAAAGAAAGAGCTCCATTTAATGACGTAATACTTTGTGTAACTAAATGTCAGTGGTTGTAATGATATAGCAGTCAGGAAAACACATTCATATGGTAGTGTTAATAATAATAATGCTATTTTCAGAAGGGGTTTTGCGGAGATTTAGTATTGATCATAATTGAAAGCGTGAGTCAATTGAAGCTAGACCACCATGGAAAACCTGGAAGCACTGGACGGCCGTTTCGTTCTATTATGGGTGAATGGTTGCTCAATTTCGTTGATCAGCTGAAGTTAGACAATAACACCATTGGATGCCAGCTCAGTGGTCTATCGGTTAAGGGCTTCGGCTCGAGACTGGTAGGTCTTGGGTTCGAATCTCGCGGGAGCGGGATCGTGGATGCGCACTGCTGAGGAGGAGTTCCATAATAGGACGAAACGGCCGTCCAGTGTTTCCAGGTTTTCCATGGTGGTCTAGCTTCAATTGACTCACGCTTTCAACTATGATTAATAATGCTATTACCTAACTTAATAAGTAAAATATTATTTACTGAGTATATGGATTAGAAATACACAGTATATCGTGTAGTAACTGAAGTATTTCTTAACATTCTATCTATAGTAAGTAGCCAATGTATGTTAAATAAACTACACCGTTGAACAACAATTTTGTTAGTATCATTGTTACGTAATATATCATGAGAAAATAACAACGGAAATATCTGAGTATTAACTATTTTCTGTTATTAATACGTTTCCAGTGACCTTAAAATCGTTAACATTTCTGACCTGCGTTTTATATTGTGCAGTGTAAAATAAGATATTGAAATGAAATGTTTAATAATAGAAATATACAATAAAACAGAGTAAAGAAGTAGACAGAGATTCAATGATATACCAATAAAATAGAAAATATATATGTTATATGGTTGAATGTAGTTGACAAATTGAGAAGAAACTGTGGGTCAAGGTTTCGTGATAATTGGTACCCGTCAACAAGGAGGAAATATAACCTTCAGAGATCTGATGTACCTTGTGGGACTCAAGTACTCGTCACTCAGTTTCGCGGCCTAAGAAATTATCTCTGAGTTATTTCAGTTATAACTGACTTACTGTAGGAATGAGATGTTCATAAGTGGCTGATCATTGAGTAGTGACCAATTCAACTAATACGTTCAAATCTCACAGGGAGGATCAGACTCCTCAACATAGCAGGTATGCCTTGATGACATGTACCGGTTAGTACAAAACCTTTTAACTACTTCAAATTACCTAACACCTCAACATAGTGTATGTAATATTCAGTCACTTAGGCTAGTGGTTACATTGCAACTTAAAACTAGACAAGCATGATATTCGACACTCAGTGATCAATCAATAGTAGAAAAGAAGTATATTGGCAAGATCTTTTTCTAACGTCTACATGAATAAGAAATAAAACTTCTAAGAAAGAATATTCATTCACGTTAAAACTATACAAATAACAATGTACAAATGAAGATCTAAACTGTCCCGGAACGACTATACATGTGTATATAAAACACTTGGAACTAAATATTTTCCGTACTATTGTATCCCCTTCTTATCTGATTGCGTAACGCTAAGTAAGTCTCTAACAAACCGTGATTCTTTAAAACCAAAGCACCTTTTTTAACAGACTACCACTTAACGCTACAGGGTATTGAAATATAAAATTTGAATATATACCATTAAACAAAAAGAAAATATCCATTATAATTTCTTTAGCCATTGTTTACTACTTAATCTCTTAAGTGAGATCAAGATTTAAATGAATTCTGGAGGTCAAAAACATAACATTAAAATAATTGTGATGTTTGAGTCAACGAATTAAGTTTTTATATACAGACTCTTAAAAAAAATACTATCAATGAAAGTCTATAAACCGTTACGAATCTGAAGTGGGATTATTGACATGAGTATCATATCGTTGTTTGGGAATTCCAAATAACAGAGTGAAATAGATAAGTATTAAACTCAAATTGAATAAATACTTCTATCAAATCAAACTACATAGCTTTATATTCTTTCGTTAATTTTAAAGTTCAACAGTTTAAATAAGTTCTAAAATTATATTCAAAACATCCATGACCCAAAAACGATTAGTTTAAGGTAAAGTTATATCCAGTTATTTACATTTGAAGAAACTATCGAATTTATTAACTATTATACACTTTGATGTTCCACCAAAAAAGTGTACTTTGTTTATAACAGTTCTATTGCATCGTACATCAAAATATTTCAGGGAGCAAAATGATCTACGTAAATTATTTATCGAGAATTTAACGCATTTGGTCAGTATATTAGGAACTAAATAGGACAGTCGATTATTAGCCTTCTTGATTGTGAGCAGAATGAAAGCTTTTTCTTACAGTAATATGGGAAAATACTATAATCTTGTTTAAAGATGGTGTTATTGTATAACCGATAAGAAACTGTTTATTATTTCCTATTGGTCAAAATGAGAATCTGATAGCTGAAATGTATTACTTAGTGAAGGTCGATATATCCTGTGGAACTATTCGTTTGAGTAAAATAATTAAGTTTAGACTGAATTCCCATCATAGTAGCCAATAATGTATAGAACCACTACAGAGTATGGATATTTGTAGCCATACATCGTGTAAATAATGAATATGGTTTTTATCTAACATCTACAGGATGTGTATAGTCATCTTATCAATCGACTAATCTTTACTTATGCAATATGACAAGCAGCAGTAGCAAGTATGAGTGAAAATAGGACAATGATATCTACCGACTGTTATCTTTTATGTAAATCTATGTATGAAATCACATAAGTGATTAAGCATGGAAAGTGACTGTTCTCAGACAATTTCAGAATAATAATCAACTTATATTCAATAATCCTTAATTACTAAAGTATTCAACATTTTGACGAAAAAACATCTAACTCTGGAAAATGTTCAGTCATCAGTATGACTTTAACCGTACTAATGATAATAATAGTAATAATAATAGTTTTATATGGACATCCATAACAGAAAACAATAATATGGAGGTAATAATGTTAAAAAAATAATAACAAAAACCCAATAATCATACTGTTTATAATTATAGTTGTAACCATTATTATTACCATTATTATTATTATTATTATTATTATTATTGTTACCATTATTATTATTATCGTCATTATTATTGCTTTTCATGATTACTATTATAATTACAGGTCCAATAATATTACGATTAATAATTGTTATTATTATTATTGCCATTATTATTGTTATAATTAGTTGTGGAATAAAAACAATAATAATAATGACCACAGTAATAAAAATAGTAGCAATAAAAATAACAACTTAGAGAGAAGAAAATCAATCGATTGAATTGATGTGGACTAATATGTATGCATATATATATATATATATATATATATATATATATATATATATATATATATATATAAATTTACAGAGAGAGAGAGAAACAAGCGCACACAGTTGTCATTACTTTAGATACAATAGCAGGATGTTTGTATATAAGATATACACTTAACGAGATGAACATGTACCAGTCAGCTTACCACAGTACAAATAATTATATTTCACTCTCTTACTATCAAGGATAATAATAGTAAGAATATCACAATTACTATTAGTAGTAGTATTAAACATAAAATTTCTCAAAATTATATTGAACCATTTCAATTTAAAAGGAAACAGAGGTGTATTTATAACGCTGACGTTGAAATTGTCTGATTTATTTTTAATAAAGAACTCCTAATTTAAAAATTACATGATAGAAATGTAAAAAAAAATGGTTAAATAATAAAAAAAATTATTAAAATTATGTAAGTCATATTTAACTATTCAAATGAATTTGATGTGCTTTTTATTTTCTTTTAGAAGGGAGTGAAAATAAAATTGATGTAACGGCGAAAAAAATTTTGATGGACGGTTTGTTTGTTGACAGTTATATTATTAAGTTTTTTTTGAAATTATCAATTTATTCGATAACATTCCTTAATTTTTAGGGTTAACTAGACAGCTCCAACCATGATTTGATATCATGTAATATATATACGTATTTAAGGAACGGTAATAATATTTGTTTTAGTTATTCTTATTTTCTTTAAAAATTAACTTCCATCTAAGAAGGTTCGATGGTGATTTCAATAACCGTCAAGAATGTATGCCTTTTGATCAGTATCCAGATAATTTACCTGTACTTATTTGGAATATATGAATCCTGTGAGAATTACCTAAAAATGGCCATTATGCCACAAGTTTATATAGAATTGATAGAATATGGCTATAGATAAAATCCAGGATGCGCCTTTCATCTTATTTGGAACCTGTTAGCCATATGTACCTGGATTCCAGAGTTGATGTTCACAAGTGAGTGGCCAACTAGACTCAATACCTAAGTGGATAACACGACGGTGTTTGAAGTAATGGTGGTACTAGGCTTGAGTTCTGGAGTGAATAACAACATAGGGATATAGTAATATTCAGCTGAAGAGTCTCATATAGGGTGAAATATATGTCTCAGATTTCATTGCTAGCCATGTTTCATCTATCCTGTATCAGATAATTGTAATTAGGAAACAATAAACCAGAAATGTCAACAATCCACAAGAACAAAACAGAAACTGAGAATCACACTGGATTGCATAAAAACTGATTAGCTCATTTGCTCTTATACATCGTTTTCAGGCTTCCCCTAAGTGATACGAATTTCCTTTGTCTTTTACTATACTTTTTTTCCGACAATCTAATCTAGTTTCTTCTTTTCATAAAATACAAGGATGTTATTTGATTTCATACTATTTTCTTTGATCTTTATTTATCTTTTTTTGTAAAGTTTTTTAGTGTTAAAAAGAGATCAGATCACTTCAATTAATTTTACTTATTAATTCAATGAAAGCCTTTCTCTTATTACATAAAATGGTTGACATGGAATATAGTTCTGTGTTTAGTAGTTAAGGTTGAGCTTGTGATCATAAATCAATAACAAATAACTAAGTAATTAGCAATGGAAGTAAGTAGGAATTATTTGATAATACCTATGTAAACAAATTTATGCATGAATATTAATGGTGGTTCAATATTTAATTTCTTGTTTTTGAATATTCAGCCAACTTACAAAATGGACTAACACTTTAGCTAAACATAAGCAACAAATTATTTTGCAATTTATGATACTGATTATTTTAATAGTGTAATCCCGACAAAGTACACCTAAATAAACTAGCAATTGTAAATTATTTACATTTAATTCCAAAAATTTTGATCTTAGACTACAAAAATAGTCCAATGTATCATTCATGAAAGGGTAAGGATAAAACTCTCGATCACGGTTTTAACCTTGCACCTGGCAATTAACCAAAATGAGGCGACAATTACTATTTAAATTATCGTACCCTATGATGGATGGAGTGTTTCACTCTCTGTCGTTTTTGCTGGCCCACATGAGAAATGTAAGCTTTTCGTCGACGAAAATACCGCCCTATCTTTATACGAACGTGTCAAGTGTGGAACAATCAGTCATGATGGAAGAAAAATTACAACATACAAAAGTTCATACCTCTAGTCTATTCCATGATAGAAAGTATTTCAAAATATCTACAATTGAATGACGAAATAGATAAAAACATAACAGCCATTACTGACTGGCTCGAATACCTGGAGTTTATCTCGAGTCTTCGTGAAAATATGAAAACCATTGAAAGGAGAGGGAAAATTTTCTCAATCAATGGTCGTTGTCTTAAAAATTGAAATAAATCACTTTTCACTATTCTCACCAAGTAGTAAGTTTTCACACTTGTAAAGTTCTATAAAGAATAGCATACAGTTGTCTAATTCACGTTTCCTCATTCGTGACCATGAAATGACTTGTGAAGTCAATGTTAAGGGATAGTTTCATTTTATCATCAAATCCTTGTCCAAAGGAAGCTGAATAAGAAATTCAGGTTGTGATCGAAAGCAGATTCAGATTAACATGCTTTCGGAAAAAGGTGAAAATTCAGCATCAGTTGTAAAAAAATCTAGTAAGATAACCATAATATTATGCCATGAGACTGTTCGTCGTATTTTTGCTAATGCTTTTAACATCCAAAACAATTTTGATCCACCTATTTTGTTTAAAACCGAGTTTTATGAACATTTGAGAGGCACATGATCGAATTATTCCTTAATCTAAGGGTCATTAAGTCCTACCACGTTATAAATACTGCGATGACAGTGCCATTTCTACATAGATCACTCTTTACATAGACTGTAGTGTCGGTTGATATGTTAAGCCCGTATACCTTATTCTAGCTTCTAGACAAGCCAATTTACCTATCCATCTTGAGTCACATTTTGACCTTGTTAATTATTCACTTATTGACCCTGACTTTCTTTATATGAGCGCATGTGTGTGTACACTTTTTATCTTAATCACATGTCTGTAACTTATTCTTATCTGAGTAAAAATATTCATTAACGCTTTATTAAAGGAGTTGGCTTACCTGTCATCTCCAATATGTGTCATTTTCGCTTTGCTCTCTTCTATTCGCTTCATCCTTCTGATTTCCTGTCCAGATCAATGAGTGTATAAAATATATGTATTCAAAATCCATTCTTGTATTTGACTTATTTAATTCCGTTATTCACGAACGCGGATTAAGTCATGTATTTCATACGAGGATAGACAGGATGTATACTTTGACAACAATCATTCATATGATCTTGGTCCCTATAAGACAATCCTTAATATTAGGTGTATAAATACTTTGGAATTTATTACTACTCCATTGCTGTCTAAGCGGTTAGCGCGAAATCCACTGGCTATTGCTTTATCTATCACTCAATGGATAAGCCACGACTACGAGAAAGTATATAATTCAGACTGAGCAAATACCGCAAAGATAATTCCTACATATCACTTTTGAAAGCATACATTTTATATAGTGATGATTAACTTCCTTATTTTCTCACTTTGTTCGAACAATCCCCACATAAATAGTATGAAATCAACATCAAATAAAGTGTGAGATTAAAGTAGTGATAGGAACAGGATACGGTTATTAAAAGAATGTGAAATAAAAATCAGATATAACTGACTCGTTCTTGGACAATAAAAAAAACCTGGTCACATGTCATTTTTATGCATTAGTCCAATGGTTTTTACTGTCTAATTGGTCAGCTCGGATATTTATTTCTGCCTTTAATGTAATGCGTTTGGAATGTTACTCACTAGTGTTTAGTCAACCTTAATTATAGGCGAGTTTTTCTATTGCTTTGTTATTTTAGGGTATATGGTGCTTGCAGTTTACATTTTACTGATTGGATTGTTAAGCCCACATATGTGGTTGATACAGACTTCTTTCCCACACTTACTAGTTGAAATGATGTTTTGCACCGTCATGGCTATCTGTTAACATAAGGGTTATTTGTGAGGACTTTATATTGTCTGTCTATCGAATAGTTTCTCTTAAGCTAATAGGACGACATTAAAATAAAGCTTACCTTATCAACCATGACTCACTATGCTTTGTTGAGAATGTTACGTCAGTTTACTTACAATCAATTCTAGGCTTTTTGATACTTTTGCTTGTCATAGATTCTTATTCTGGCTGATAGTTACCGTCATACCCCCATATTTTCTTTTGATGTCTGTCAGTATCGCCAAATTGATTATATGAACTTGAGGCTATGGCATTTTATACTTCAAAGTTATCTCAATGTAAAAATTGTGACTGTAATGATTTCCACAATTGTACATACAACTTTGTCGAGACATCCTTTCCCTTATTGATACTTATTTATTCATTTATCTTCACTCATTATTCTCAGCAGTACAGTTTCTGATAATTTGTAAGATTTCCAGAATAAATCCGTCAATGATGGCTAATAGTGATATTTTCAATCAGATTTTAATCATTGACTATTATGGTAAGCAGAGATGGATAGTGGCTAGCAGTGAAATCCAGGACGCTCGTTTCGTCCTATTTGGGACTCGTCAGCTGGATGTACCTGCATCTCAGAGTTGATGTTCACTCTGGGACTCGAACCCAGTACCCTCGCTTCAAACGCCATCGCGTTATCCACTCGGCCACTGAGTCCTGATAGCCACTTGCTTGTGCGATGGGGTGAAGTTTGAATTCACTTAGTATTGTTTGTTTGGATCTTCCCATCGATGTGTTTAGGACTGCAACTGGTCAGTCTCTAATTGGCATATGTGCATACTGTGCGTATTGCCTCGATATACCTTAATTCACAAGCATCGTAAG